AAGCAGTGCTAACAGCAAGATCTAAAGCCAGAAGTGCAACATCATGCTGGACATCTCCTTATCTGAGAGTAACGGGCAAGTACAGACCATCAATAAAACATAAAACTAAGATGCATTATCACTTAGAGTGTATCATGGGTGAACAACCCTGAGAGAAAAGGAGATTTTCCAGACAGAGTTAATGACTCATCTCTGGCATGGACAAATATCAGCAGCCCCATGGAATGCATTCACTAGTTACATGCAACTAAGGATATCACGAGAAGCCATTACTTCAATCATCTAAATAACTACAAATATGATCAAAATTCTGGCTGTATCTCACAAGTGTAGGCTTGTGACCCACAGAAAAGTCACCAATAAGGCTTGGCAGGTACAGTAAGAAATAACTTCTAGAGCATAACATGCATCTTGGCAGCGCCAACAGTAGGTCCTATCCTTACTAAAGTGCTGAACGGGATGGGACGCCACAAGCAGCACAACAATCGTCCTCTAGACCACAAGTGTCATGCTGTCCTCCCTGAGGAAAAGGCAAGCTTTGTGTCAAAGCTGCGATTAGGTTCAAAGAAAACAAGAGTAAATCACAGCAGGCAAGAGCTGAAACTGAAGTGAGTACGTACTTTACACCTGAATGCGTTAAGCATAGCAAGGAATCATCAGCTATGAAAACACGATGCTAAGGATATGCACAACAGCATGAGGCATGTTAAAAACAGAGCCTCACAGAATCTCAGTTAACTCTCCAAGACATAAAATTGCTCACTTCCCTGGAAAGGAACTGTATTTCTTTGTCACAGTAGACAGTAAGTATATCATCCAGAAACCCAAATATCTCAAGCACACTCCAGCAAGAACGGCAGTCAAGGCAGACCATAAAAGTCACGGCATCCTAACGTGCTGTTGCCAGACTGCGGCCACCGTACACTGCAACAGAACCCCCACTTAAGATGAGCTGGAAATCAGCAGACACGATGTCTTCCCCTAGATGACAGTAAGGCAGAGACAGGAAAGAAACTGGCGGGGGGTGGGGAGGAGAGGGGGCGGAAACCACGAAATACCTACCCAACTACGCTGGATCATTGCAATAAATCCTCACGAAACAAGCAGTTGAGCAGATCAGGAATGAATACCTAACCAGTCAGGTCCTGCTTTCTGTGACAGCGAGGCTTCTGAGGTGCAGCACAGATAGGACACAGGCAGCCAGCCCAGCCCCAGCAGCCTGCTGTAACAAAGCAGTCAATGACCTGAGGCCACTGTACACAGTTGAGAAGGTCAGGGTAAAGGCCCTGAGCTAGCCCCACAGAAAGGACAACACTAAAAGCGCAGAAGAGAACTTATCAGAGAACAATAGGCTACAGTTTTAAGAGACCAGTGGAGGCAAATCTGAAGATAGTTATGAAATAAGAGCGCACTGTCAGCGCACGTGATAGTGCTGAAGCCAGCAAGCACGGGTAAGAAACCCAGCTACCAGGTGGGCTAACACAGGAGAAAAAGTACACAAGCAATAGGAAGACCAGCAGAAGGCAGTCAAACAAAGGAAGTAAAAGGGTAGAATGAAGTTCTCTATCAGCAGTGATACTAAGGAAAGGAGACTCGCTCAGAAATAAGGACTAGGAAACCTAAGATAATGAACTGGAACAGCAGCAGATGCCACAGCTACAGGCAGGCTGCATACTAGTACAATTTTGGCTTTTAACAAATCTGTTAAAACTTGTACAAGATAATGGTTTCAATAGTTATTTAAAGACAAGCTGCAACAAATTGGATGGAAATTGGGAGACAGAAGCATAACTTGCAGGAGGGAAAAATCTGGAGAAAACACAGGAAAGTGGTCTGAAGGAACTGCAGGGCAACAGCTCTCAAGAACCAACTGCGTTTTTCCCAAGTCTGCCACTGTTATTAGCCAGCACACATACACGAAACAGTTCAGCAGCGCAAGCTGGATCGACTTGACGTTCTGAAGATACACAGATCGCGTCTAAGAGAAGCGGCTAGCAGAAATCCCAGAAATGGGTGATAACAGACATTTTATTTCAGCATACGCTATGTTATTTATGCTTCTGTCATATTATTTATACCCAGGGATTGAAACCCTGACAAGAAATACCATTAACACACAACAGCCAAGATTTTAGCCTCTGTGCATTGTATCCACTTCACACCCACGCTGAATACCAACCTGAGGTAAAATACATCACTTTACCACATACTCCCAGCGTGTCATCGACACTTTTGCCACTACTGAATTTGAATCAGAATTCCAGAGGAGCCATACCTACTTCAGGCCTGTATTTTGTACATTAAGCACTACACATGGCTTCATTTAGTAGAATTCCCAATTGCTTAATTTTCCCCAGCACGCTGCCAGCATTAGTATTGCTCACTGCCTGCATTTGGGTCTGATGGTTCAGCACTAGAAGATGGTTATCAGTCAGACGCACCAGGATTAGTGTTATCCATGCGATAATATCTACTCAGAACAGAAGCAGCTGGTGGCGGCACAGACCACCTTCTGGTGTCAAAACCCCTCCCATTAGCTCAGCCTTTTGATCGTCTTTTACTTAATCCAACAGGGGATTGCTTTATTCCTCTCCCTCCACAGATCAAAATTTATCTCATTCAGTGGAGTATTTATTAATCAGTTTAATGTTTTTGCTCTGGCAAACCAAGGATGACCTCTTCCCTCTCTACCTTTTCCAAAGCCATTCACTGTTGAAACTCTAATGCTCTGCTTGCAGCCAGCTCAGCAAGTAGGAAGTGAGGATACAATGACCTCATGTGGCAAATGCTGCACATAACTGCACATAGCTTCGATGTCACCTCTGACTACAGGGACTATAGCACAGTTTTTACCATCGACTGTTATTTCACAATTAAATTTGCATCACCAATTTCCTCTCCTCAAAGATTGTGCCCATTTTCAGTGGCACAGTTTTTTAATGAAAACACTTAAGCGGGAACGATGTTTCACTGACTGCTTTTAATCCGATTTCAAACAAATAATCTCTACTGGCCATGAACCTGGGCCCATTGCCTCTTTTGTTGAGGGCATCAAAACACTGCAGCGAAGAATCTAAAAAAAGTGCTTCCTTTATTCGTCGTTATTTAATAGAGCACTTCAGACCTACAAAGCAGCACATAAATATTAACTAACCAATCCTCCAGCCTTCTGGAGAGATAGGGCAATATCACTATTTTAGAGACGAAAAGACTGAGGTAGAGTGATTTACTCAAGGTCATACGATGAGTATAAACAGGAGCTGGAAAAAACAACTCTGGAGTCCACATGCCTAGCTGTGCTGTAACTGCTAGACAATAGCGATTCCACATATTTTCTTTTCCTAAGATATGATTTAAATTTTTACTATGTAAATTTTTCCCAGCCTGTATTTAAGAGTTTATGGCAAACTTCTCCTATGTCACTTTTTTATTTAACAAATAGATTTCTGAAGTCTTTAATTGCTGGAAAGAGAAGAAAATCATCTCAATACTAATCACATTTTATATACAACCCCGTTATTATCAAGTCTGATTAAATAAACAGAAAACAATAGAAAAGAGCTCACTCACAATTATAAATAAATTAATTGCTGTTCTAAGCAGCATTCATATTAAGAGAAGTTAGAATCCACTATACAGAAGAGAAGCAACTATAAGGACTGAAAATAATATGAGACAATACTGTGTCTTTTGCTAACAAATATAACTCCCACTTGCACAGCAATTAAAATACTACCTATCGATATTTGATTCTGTATCTTAACTGGACAAAAAGATAGTAAAACCTGCGTACCAATTTTGTTTCCCCAGTCGTGATGACATTTGATTAAAACAAGCAAGCATTTCTAGCCAGTTCCAGCAAGGTATCTTACCCAAGGGAAGAGAAAAGGATACAGTACTCAAAGACTGAAAAAACATCATCCCCAAACAGTAGATATCAATTCAGAAATCTTTCATGTCTCTAATGCACAAACAAACAACACAACGACCATATTTATGCTAGCCTGGGAATAGGTCTAAGAAAAGCAAAGAATACCGACAAGTTTTAAAATCTGAGGCACCGTGAGAGCTGCGAGGTTCAAGCTGAGGCACAGAAGGAACAGCATAAGATCCTCTCCACTTCCATTTATGCTGCATCTGTCCTACATACAAATAACTGTAGCTGCTTGTACTTCAGTCCAGCTATTATCAAAGCCCTGAAACATTTTATTTTGTGCCCAGCAATTAAAACCATTCTAATAATTGGTTGCGACTTTGCTCCTTTGAATCCAAACTTGGCAGTCAGAGATTTTGTAAAGCGTTCTGGAACGGGATGCAGATAACCTGCCACGAAATTTGTGTGCTCTCTGTGATGAGTTTGAAAAAAAAGGATTCATTAGAACTCGGACCCACTTATTCCTTGAAATGAGCATTGTCATTCCAATTCCTATAATTAAATTCATGATTTTGACATGAATAGGAATAATATAATTACTATTATATAATAACTATAGGAATAATTGCAATTTTAGTCAAAATAAGCTGTTTACCTTTCAGACTGTTGCCAAGAATATTTTAAAAGTTTCTGACATCTGTTTTAATTAAATCTGAACTGAATCTTCATCCAACTCACTTCATGTCTAGAGCAAAGATCTCAAAATCTCTCCTTTTATCAGACCATCTGGAAGTCCGAAACAAATATTTTTACAATAATATCAATACTACTCATTTCTACTGTAACATAATTACTACACAAAGCAGTTCTAGTGATCAGTAAATTATACATACATATTTTATACAATCCTATGCTTCTGTCCAGGTAAGCATATTTTCCACACGTGGAAAAATCTGAGACTAGTTATACTGCTTCAGAAATATCAGTCAGCTTGTACATCAAAGACACTGAGCATACATCATCTTGAATTCACCCATTGTACTAATATTACGTTCTGGCAGTCTACACATTATTTGTCACAAGACATGAAGGCACTAAAAACATTAAGCATCGAAAAAGTCTTTCTATCCATTTTTATTTTTCAGTTAATAGTTAGAGAATGCCAGCACAATTCCAACCACAAAGGAAGAAATTTAATCTCAAATTAGCAGACATCACAGGCACCACAGAAAACAATAAAATGCTTTACAATACAATTTTTACATTCAAAAGCCAACTGTGTAATCATTCAGAGATGTTTAAAGCAAAACAAGACAGCGCATAAAACACAGCACTTCCAAGAGGCGTACCCTGTACAGTTTATAATATTTCTGCACCTAAAACAAAAGTGGCTTAGCTACAAAAAAACAACAAAAACCACAATGCATTAGAACAGCAGCTACACCAAAGTTCCCCCCCTTCTTACTACAAGACCACGACAAAAAACAGCCTACTCTGCATGTTGCAGTATTCACGTGTAAACACCCAAAAGGCCCAGTTAACAAACAGAGAAGTTGGAATGAAAGCAAGAAATCATCTCCGACATCCAAAATGCAGTTAAGTATGTTTAGAAACATGTCATTTAGAGCTGAAGACCGTTTGCAAAATTTTCTTCTTCCCTTTACAATATCCATCAAGTGAACATACTTATCTACAGGAAAAGAGGACTTACCAACTGCCAAAAATGACTCAGTATCATAACGAGTAAAAAAAACTAAACAAAAAACAAAAAGCAGCATGCTAAAAAAATGAAAAGTCTCTTAATAGCCTAGTCTGCAGTGCACCATGAAAACATCAGAGATAAAATCTTATTTACTAGCTACAGAATTTCAGCTATGTTAGGCTTGTTGCAATTCAGCGTATTCTGAGAAGTGCCTCACCTACGAAAACTGTCAGATGATATTTTTATACCTTGAAATATAAAACTCTATGCTATATTAATTCTGTCACGAGTAAAAATTGTCCTATCGTTCTGAGGAAGAAAAAAGTAAAAACATCAGTAACAAGTCAAATTCACTAAAAAAAATTAACAACAGTTCCGGAGAAACCACTACCTTCTTGGGAATTAAATAGATACTAGAAACAAAATAAATAAAAATAACACAATAGCATACTCCAGGACTTGTGTCTCTGATTAGAAACAGATGTCATATTTGGAAACTCTCAGGACTCTAGTACCTTCAAATTTTTGTGTGCTATTTTATATAATACTGAACAGATCTAGCGATTTATTTAATAATTTCTCTATACAGAAAGTTTGTTTGTTCCTCACAATTAATTAACAGGCTTGAGTCCTGCCTCTCCAGAGGCCTTCTATGAAAGCAGAAGCTGTACTTCAGACTTTGATCTCACAGATGTTTGGAACAGTTTGATTCTGCCTATGCTTCAAAGAGGATTATAGCGTGCTCAAAAATTCTTTGACCTGCAAAAAGAAACAAACATCATTAATCAAAGGAAGTATTGATCAGCACAAACAAACAGCAACTATGTTTACAACTCCAATTCTTTATGCTGTACTACAAGGTACAGGAACTAAGTAAACTAAACTTAGGGCTGGCTACGCAGTTTCTTGTCTTTTAAGAACTTTTCCAGTCACGGCACCCTTATTTTAGCAGGTACAGAGAGCTACACGTCGGAACAATACTCATTTCTCCAGTGCTCTCAAACTTCAGCTCTACGTCACAGGTGAATTAATCTAAGGTCGAGTCTAATCTAAACGCAAGGAAGATAATCATTATGTCAAAGGCTACGGAATTTGGAATATACCCGGTCACACCTACTATCATGACGCTGTTCATGTTCTGTGTTAACAAACTGCCCAATGCATCTAGTTAGTATGTTCCTCAGAATGAGAGGCTGGAAAATAAATAAAACAATCCCTAGCAAGAGCATAGTACTTAAAGATTTGATACTCTAGGTCAGTGCCATAGATACTCCGGTTAGTGTTTAACACAATTCACAGTATTTGAAGAACAGATTAAATGGCCACAGGGACCTAAAAATTAATACTGAAGTTCTGACCCATAGAACGGTATCTAGAACCCTGAATCAGAGGTCTATGAGCCTACACAGAGGCCCAATACAGCACCTCAAGAAATCCTTACAGTTGCAATGACAACAGGATCCGAGACAGGCAGCGTGTCAAGTAGTAGACTAGCATAAAGCACTTAAAGGTGCAGCCACTTTAGACAGCATCATCTTAAATTCAGGTCCCTACCCAAAACTGTAGGAAGATTCTGTGCTGAGAACTCCCTTCTTACCACAAGTATGTATGCCTTTTTCCCCGCCCTAGAGCATAACAGCAACCACTCCCTCCTTTTAAAGCATAACAGTAGGAAGAGGTGACAGCGAGGGCCAAACAACCTTCTTTTTAGAATATAACCCAATAGTTACAGGACCCAAGGAGGACTGGGACTAGCAATGAAACTCCTTTCTCTCACGTGGAAGGGCGTCCTAGCAACTACTCTGTAAGATTACAAAGTCTAAACTGGGAGCACTTTCCTCTCCATCTACTCAAGTCAGACTATGGCATAGAAAGGAAATCAACAGCTCACTACAGAATACAGCTGTCATCCTATTAGCAAAGGCTATCACACATAGACCACATCTGCAAATACTTTGTCCAAATAGCTGATGTGAAATAGAAACAAACCTTGGATCACATTCTGAAATTGTGTCCCTTTCTTTCCTGCTTCAAGGCTCAAGGAGATAGGAAAAAAGTCAAATCCCTCACCATGGAGGGGAGAACAGAACATAGAACTGTGTAAACATTCTAACCAGAAGGGTATCATGAGAAAGTCATTCTCCTTTTTAAAAGCACTGCAGGAGAAACCTTATCATGTTGATTTACATTAGGCATTGTTTCAGGACTGGTCTTTGAAACTGAGCACGTCAGAGATAAGCAGGAAACAGTTTATTGGTCCCCACTGGGCAAAAGCACACGCTGGAGGCTAAAGCATTCAGCCTCACGAGGACTGGAGCAGTTCTGGGCTTCCAGTTAGGAAATACTAAAAGTAAGGCCAACACAGAGCTTAGGCTGTCCCCAGATGAGCTGACAGCCACGCAGGGGTCAACTCCTGCAAAATCCCTATTTAGGTGCCTGGGTTTGGCTTTATCTCATGGTACAGACTGGAAGCTTATTCACTCCAGAGCAGAGATGTCTAGTTGTTCCATCAATTAACAAGCTTTAAAGAGTAAAGATTATGAAAGCTGCTTTAAATCATTTCTAAATGGATAAGCTGATATCAAAGGACATAGTTACTTTTCTCATATGGTAAACACGTTATTGCTGAAGAGAAGGAAAAAAACACAGTTTTATTGCTAAGGTCTGTACCTTATTGCAACAACTCAAAAGTCACCTTGTCCTCAGCTGAATCCTCTATGACTCTAATGCCAGATACCTAAGCACTTAACCTACGAGGGGGCTGGATGGTTTGGCCTAGCTTTAAGATTTTGCATATATTATATTACACCCTTTCAGGCTAACTAAAAAGTAGCTCATCTTCTACAAACAGAAAAAAAATAGCCCTGATTTTTATTCTGCATTACTTCCTAAATAAAATAAGAAACAACATTTGAAAAGTGTTCCCTGAGAGAAGGATTTTGAATAAGACTAACAAACATGACTGAAAGTTTTGATGCTACTGCCAATCTAACAAATAAGACCAGAACTAAGCAATATTGTAGCAGGCTACATGATTGTTTATTATCTGAACGTAACTCCACGGTTTAAGTATTTTTGAATGATGATTATACAGTGAAGTATTATTTTTAGTGCACAGGATCCTTCTCTGCATTAGCTGCATAGCCATTTATTATGACAGACTTACCAGGAGCTAGAAAGATTAACCCCTTAATCTCTTTTATTTAGCTAGAAAAATCTGCAAAGGCTAGAATAGTTTTCCATTGGTTCGCTGCGTTGGATCAAAGCTCAGCTGCAGGTTTAGCAAAGTCATCCTTCAGCTTCCTGTTGTAATCATTTTGTACTATATTTTCACAGTACCTAAAACTAACATTCTGCCCAAGACATCTGACTTGGATCTCCGTTTTTCTTTCTCTGTCTCAATAGCTACCTTTTCACCCTCTCCCCCCCCCATGTTTCTTAGGATACCTGCACAATCTTAGAAGCAGGACTTAGCAAATAACAGTTCTTTTAAACTCCTGAAGACTATCTAAAGTAGCCACTGTATTTGCAGACATAGCTAATAGTGAAAGTTGTCTCAAATAAGCCTGGATTTTTTTTTTTTTAAATGGAAAACGTATACATAGGAAATTACATGGATATGCAGGTTCAAACATCAGTTTAACTTCAAAGAACACTAGAAGCTGAGACGCAAGAAGGATCCTGAATACGTTTCAACATGATGGCAATAAACCTAAACGATCACTTTGTTCTGCTTGTCAAGTTTTACCTTTTCAGTCATGTGATCATATCTGTCCTTTTTGCCTTTGAAGTCTTCATTAACATCTAATGTTAAAATAGGTATTTCCTGTAGGTATTCAAAATCAGTTCTGCATTGGAATAGGAGCAAAGAAGGAAACGTTACTAACGGCAAACAAGCATACATCGTGAAAGTCTCTATCAGAGTATTCATTGTTAAGGTTACTCTGAGAAGTGCAAATTTCAAATAGTCGTGAATTCTGAAAATAAGAATTAAATAAAGAAGCTTAAATTTACAGCGAAGCTTCTAGGATTCACTGTTGATTCCTGAGCATGCTGTTCCCCCAGCACCTGAGGTTAAACTCAACTGGATATTGCAATATATATGGTCGATTGAATGATCTGGAACTCGAAGCTCTAGACGAAGAGAGCTCCAAGTCACATTCCATGTCCCAGCAATACTTTACACCCCATTACCCCAAGACTGCTATGAAAGTATAGACAGAAATCTTCCTGAAGTTTAACTTCGCATTTCAAAAGAAAAGCTGAAGTATCACTGGTGGGAAAAGTATTTTAAAACACCCTTACAAAGATTTACCAATCTTATGGTGGTCACTAAAGAAATCCTACCGCAATGTTCTATGCTGAAGCCAACTTTCATGTTTGTAATGAAGCTTCTCCAGATATTCAATGGGAATTTCTTGCTCTTCATCTCTTCCGCGCAAGTAAATCCTATTTAAGCATTTCTAAAGACAAAAGATTAAAAAAATATATATGGATTGGTTGTGTTTGCAGAAGTGAAGAGGAAGCCTAGTCTGCCCAAGTTTTTTTGCCAGCCTCTTCCTACTAGGCTAAATATGCCTCTCTGCCTAAAATGAATATGCAAATTGCTAACTAAGCCTAGGAGCATGGAAACCTTACTCCATTTCCAGCTGACAAAGCCTGCTCACTACATCTTTCCTACCGAAAGGAAGGCAGGACCAAGAAAAAAACATCATATTATTTCTCCACTACAAGGAAAGGTTTCAAATAAGCTTTTATTAAAAAGAAGAGACACCAGCATATTGCACAAAAAGAGCACAGAAATACAAGTATGACATTATGGACAGGCATTTCAAAATCTCATTTGGTATTTCCGGCTTTAAGAAACCTGGTTTTAGTAAGTAATCATTCACTACAAGCCCTGAACAGATCAAAAGCCTTAATACCAAGGTAATCTAAACTGTTTTGTTTTTTGTTTTGCAATTCAGATAGGTATTCTTGACTTAAAGAGGGGCATGGGAGGGGATGACGCACGGGGGAGGGGATGAGTAGTTTACAACAATAACAGAAGTTATTTGCAGCAGGGAAGTACAGAAGTGACCTCTAAGTTGGTTACTACAGTTAGAGCAAAAAAATCTGAATTTTCTCTCTTGTGCCTATAAGTTTCACCCTGAAGAGAGATATTTATTCTGTTGTTATCATTTGTAAAATACATTAGATGTCCAAACATCAAAGCATTGTGCTAAAGCATCACATATAGCAAGTGCATTCACCTGGCTTGGCAACATTGTCCCACATGAAAGGGCTTTTTCCCCCTGCCAATCACCTGTGGCGTTAACTATGAAATACTACATTTATCATGGCAGTGATCCTATAGCTGCTTATACTTTTCACTTGCTTTTATTACCAATGCTATTTTTTGGTTTGTTTTGTCATCTTGACATGCCACTTTTATAATCTGGAAGCCATTATCACATTTTCCTAACGCACACAAATATACCATATGTTGCTAGGACAGAAGTACCAAGCAAGCACAACAGAAACATGAGGGTAAGTGTATGGCAAAGGCACACATAGGTCTGGGATACTGTAATTCCAGATTGCAAACCTGAATGTTAACAACAATTTAAAAAAGTGTGTGTGTGTATATAAATATATATATATATATATATATATACACATACACACACACACACAAACACATGCTGCAACATTTGCAAAGAACGCTCTTATTCTAAGTGTTTCCAGACTGCGTTAGTATTAATTCAAGCACTATAATCTTTAGGAGAATATTGCTATCTGAACTGAACTCTAAACATTAGGGCTGTTTTAATGAGAGGTGAGGCTAGCTGAAGCTTTTGAAAAGAAACGTGCTTAGAGTTTACTTCACTTCGAAGTTAACTTCAAGGTTACTCTCTCAACTGCTTCCTGGCCTGTCTGAGACATTCAAAACAATCCCTGAAACAAAGACACAATGAGATCTGCTAATATGAGAAAAGCTGTAAAACTAACGGCCTCTCAGAATACAGAAACAGACAGGTGACAGAGCTCAGAATAGCAGACAGCCCATTTACTAAAGCGCACAGAAAGCAGTCAGGTTAATGCCTCATCAGGCCTTAGCTTCCTATCACAATAGGACTCCCCCACTCCAGCAAATATTTGAGCAAGATTTTATTTTCTACTCTGATAAAAATACACCATTCTCCCCACTGCTGCTGAAACAAGGAAATGACAATTCATCACAACCGTGGTTAAGTGGTAGCAGCAAAGGATTAATATTTTAGTTGCCAAAATCTACTGCGGAGCCCAGAATAGAACTGTGGCTCTATTAGAGATGCTTACAGGTATAGTATTCCTTCATCACAATAAAGGCCTAGAAGTACAGCTAAAACTTGAAATTTAGAAATGTTTTGTTTAGAAACAATAACTATTGTGGGAACATAGACAAAACCAAAATTTTACAGGCAAGAGAGAGAGCACATACTCCCGTTCTTTAGGGGGTCATAAATTTTTATTCCTCACCTCAGGTGTAGCTCTGAGATAAATGATCCCATCCAGCACTAGGCTTTGACCAAACTCCTTATTCATCCAGTCATGCCAGTCTTGGTAAATAGTCCATTCAGTCTCATTCATACAATCAGACTCATATAAGTTAGCTGCAAAGATATATCTGCGAACACAAAATACTTTCGTGAGCAAAGAAAAGCTTGAATAAGGTTATCACTTTGTTTGCATCAAGTACTCAGCAGAAGCTAAGAACATCAGCTGTGCATGGTAATCTTTTTCTAAACTTCTTTGAGGGTATGTTTGAATTGGAAAAAAAAATAGTTGGTGTACTTATCCTGTAACTATTTCTATTGCAGTTGCCCACAGAATTGTCTACAAAGAGCAGTAGCATTTGCAGTTCAGGTATCTGTTCAGGAAAAACCTACAGGCCAAGTAAACACTTCACTTATTCACTGAAACACTGGTGTAATTAATTTACAATATATTGGGACATAGTAAGCCCTCTGAAATTCTGACGGGATTCAACGGTGAAATCTAACCTTCTGAAATCAGAAACCGATAGGTATGGCAACATGAAATAGCTAGAGTTCTTTCAAAGAGCATGAAAGAAAACAAGAACAAATGACAGATTGAGATTTTTCTTCTCAATGCCTACTTCCCCTCTTTTCTTTAGAGGGAAACATGAATATACAACACAAGAAACCCACTCACAAAGAAAAAGAAACTACATGTAGTTAATTCAGTTTATACAACAACTTTATAAACCCTCAAACCAGTAAAATTACTTCATTGTCAACACCACTGAAAGAAAGCTAACAAGCCATTTATTGATACTTTTGTAATTTACCAGTATCAAAACCATAACCACAGCAGTCCAAAAAAAAAAAAACAACCACATGTACACCCTCATGTACAACAACCTCATGTACACCCTCCTTTTTATTTATGTATGTATTTCTGTATTTTGGAAGGATTTTACTCTTCACTTGAATGACTTCTACTCCAACATACCTGTCGCTATAGACAGATCGCTCAAAGAAGACCACAGGATTCTCTGCCTCTCGGAGTTTCCCATCAAGGGATCGGAGCTGAGCCCGGATCCTGCTGAGGCACGCGTATGTCTGGAAAGTGAAAGACCAC